TCATCAATGGATAAAACATCACAACAGAAACTAAGCAGCAAAGTAATGGAATAGTTATTAAGGATCAAACAGATCCAAAAGATACAGAAAACTTCACTCAAGCAGAAAAGAATACACTTCGTTCTCAGGTATTCATGGAAACTTCTCCACAATTGACCATATACATCACAAAGCAAGTGTGAACTGGTAAAAGAAGACTGAAATAATCACTTGCATCTTACCAGATTATCTTTGATTTAAACCAGATTTCAACAACAACAGAAACAACAGAAAGCCTATAAATTCTTGGAAATTAAAGAACATTCTGCTCAATCACCACTGTGTCAAACAATAAACATAAAAAGTAATTAAATATTTTTAAATGAACTCAATCAAAATGAAGGCACAAAATACCCAAATTTATGAAAGTAGTGCTAAAAGAAAGTTCATAACATTAAGTGCCTTCATAAAGTAATTGGATTGATCTCATATTATCAACTTAATAGCACAGCTGAGGGGTCTAGAAGAAAAAGAATCAAACACACTCAAAAGGAGTAGATTGCAGGAAATAATCAAACTCCATGCTTAAATCAATCACCCAGAAAGAAATACTACAAAGAATTAACAAAACTAAGAATTTGTTATTTGGTAAAATAAAAAAGATAGACAAACTGTTAGCCAACATAATTAATGGCAGAGAGACAGAATCCAAATTAACAAAATCATAAGTGAAAACAGAAAAACAACAGACCTTGAGGAAAGTAAAAGAAACATTAGATCTTATTTCAGAAGCTTGTATTCCAAACAATTGAAAAATATAAGTGAAATGGATGATTTTATAAGCTGATAACACTTATTAAATTTAAATCAAGATTAGGGAAACTATTTAAATACTTCTAAAACCCCTAAGGAAATCAAAGCCATCATTAAAATGTTATAACAAAAGAAAGCCCAGGAACAAATGATTATATTTCAGAACATTCCCAGACATTCAAAGAAGAGCTAATACCAATACTGCTCAAAATATTTCACAAAATAAAAATAGAAGAAACATTGCCAAACTTATTATATGAGGCCATAGTCACCCTGAAATCTAAATCACAAAAGGACTCAACAGTGAAAGAAAATTTCAGACCAATTTCCCGTATGAATATCGATGGAAAATTTTCAATAAAATGCTCTCAAACTGAATCCAAGAACATGTCAAAAATATCAATCATAACCAAGTATGCTTCATCCCTGGGTGAAGGGATGGTTTAATATTTGAAAATACATTAATGAAGTCTACCACAAAAAGAAACTGTAATAATAAACCATATGATCATATGATTAGATATTCAGAAATACTTTGACAAACTTTAACACTGCTGCATGTTAAAACTCTTCGAGACCTCAGGGATAGAACAAACACACAAAACACAAAACACAAAACACAATATATAACAAGCCCATAGTAAACAACGTAATAAGTGGTGATAAACTTAAAGCAATCCTACTAAAATCAGGGAACAGGCAAGGCTGTCTACTCTTTCCCTGTCTCCTAAATATTGTACATGAAGTTTGAGCTATAGCAATAAGAAAATTGAAGGACATCAAGGGATCGAAATTGGAAAGAAGAGAGTCAAATACTGCTATTTTCAGATGATATCATAATATACATAAGTAAACCTAAAAATTGTACCGGAGTACTCCTATAGCTGATAAACACCTTCTGCAGTGTGTTTAGCTACAAAATTAACTCAAAATAAATCAGTAGCCCTCAATTATACGCATGAAAATTGGGCTAAGAAAGATATGAAGGAAAAAAATGTTGTGTGCAATAACCACCAATAATAAAAATATCTCTGTGTAACTCTTAGCAAACATATGATAAGCCTATGACAAGAAGTTCATGTCACTGAAAACAAATTGAGAAAAATATCAGAATATAGCAGGATTTCCCAGGCTCATGGATCAATAGGATTAACATAGTAAAAATGGCAGTTTTATCAAAATCATTCTACAGATTCAATACAATTCCCATCAAATTTCAAATACAATTCTTTACAAAGCTTGAAATTGCAATTTTCAGCTTCATTTGGAAAAACAAACAAGCAACAAAATAATAGGATAGCTAAATCAATCATGTGCAATAAAAGAACTTTTGGGAGTATCATTATCTTTGATCTCAAGCAGTGCTATAGAGAAATAGCAATAAAAACTGTATGGTATTGGTATAGAAACAGAGGAGTTGATCAATGGAAATGAACCAATGCCTGAGACATAAACTCACAAACAAACAGACACCTTATTTAGGCAAAGAATCCACAATCATACAATGGAAATGTGAAGCATCTTCAAAAATTGTGCTGATCTCACTAGATGTTTGCATGTAGAAAAATGCAATTAGATCCATATTTATCACTCTTCACAAAACTCAATTCCAATGGAATCAAAGTCTTTAATATTAAACCAGATAAACTTAATGTAATCAAAAAGAAAGTACATAATAGCCTTGAAAACATTGGTACAGACAACAACTTTCTGAACAGAATACCAATGGCTCTGGCTCCATGATCAACAATTCATAAATGGAACTTCATAAAACTGAAAATCTTCTATAGGACAAAGAACACCATCAACAGGACTAAATGGCGTCTTCCAGATTGGGAAACAATCTTCGCCAACCTGATAGCCAACACAAGATTTTTATCCAAATATATAAATAACTTAGGAAGTTAGACAACAACAATCAACATCACCCAATTATAAATGTTATATCAGGCTAAACAGAGAATTCACAGCAGAGGAATTTTTAGTGGCCAAGTAGCACTTAAAGAGATGTTTAATATCCACAGCTACCAGTGAAATGTAAGTCAAAGAATCCTGAAATACCATCTTATACCTGCCAGAATGGGTTCAATAATATTTCAGTTGGTGGCACATGCTATCAAGGACTTATTGCAAGGGGAACACTCCTCCATTTCTGGTGGCAGTGCAAACTTGTACAACCACTTTGAAAATCAATTTGGTGTTTTCTCAGAAAACTAGAAATAGTTCTACCTCAAAACCTAGCTATACCCCTCCTGGTAATGTACCCTAAAGATATCCCACTCTACCACAGAGAGACTTGTTCAACTGTGTTCATATCAGTTTTATTCATAATACCCAGAAACTGGAATCAACTAGATTTCCCTCAACCGAAGAATGGATAAAGAAAATGTGGCACACCTACAAAATGGACTACTATTCTGCTACCAAAAAAGAGGAAAAAGAATAGTAAAGAAAAAGAAAAAAGAAACACATCTTGAAATTTTTAAGCAAATAGATGGAATTTGAGTATGTCATCCTGAGTGAATAGGCCATAGCCAAAAAACATGGGTCTTTATACTCACTTGTAAGTGAACATTAGCCCAAAAGTTCAGCATAACCATGCTACAATTCACAGACCCCCCAAAACACTGGATAAGTGAAATCCTAGGGAAGGATGTACAAATATTACAGAGATGATGCAACTAAATAGTCTTAAGAAGTCAATTAAGGGAAAGAATTGTGTAGGAGAGAGTATAAGGGGGAACAGGGAAGGTGGACAAGTACGGGGAGAATGGGTCAGTCAGGCCAGGGAGTGAGAATAGAAATTGCTGAGCAGCTTCTCTGGGACTTGCTGGAGGCCTGAGAAGGGTAAGTATATAGGAAATATACGGTGATGATCCTAGCTGAGATTCTAAGCATAGTGAGATATAGAAACTTAATTATTACCTTGCTTGTTCTTTTGACTATTTGTGTTTATTATCTTGCTTGTTCCCTGACTATTGGCATCTATTGCATTGCTAGTTCCTCAACCTAGAACTGACCTTAATACTTGTATGTAATCAAAATGGCATAAAAGTAGATTGGGGAAAAGTAAAAAAGAAGAACCCTGCTCCTCCAAAAAAAAAAAAAAAAAAAGAAAAGAAAAGAAACTTAATTGGCCAACTGCTGTAGCTAGGAGAGTTTCCAAAGGAAGGGAGGGGACATCAATCCATTCAGGAAAGCTTCAACCAAATATTTGTCTTGCGTACAATTATGTACAGGGACTAAGATGAAGCACAAAATGTGGGAAGAGCCAAACAATGTCTTTTCCAACTTCTGTTATGGAGGCAAATTTTTCAACTATAAATAATACTCTTGTTATGCTTGAAGAGAGGAATGTAGCATAACTGCCTCCTGAGAGGCTTCATAAAGCAGTGGATGGAAATAGATTCAGTGACCTATAGCCAAAGTATCAGAATGAGTTTAGGGAATATTGTAGAGAGTTTCAAAGAGAAGAGGGCAAGCTAGAATTGTCAAGGACACTACAAGAAGACCCACAGGGTCAAATAACCTGGAATACTTGGAACTCATAGAGACTTGGCCACCAACCATGCTGAAGCTGGAACTAGGCTCCCTTACTACACCTTAATAGTAAATGTACAGCTTGGTCTTAATCTGGATTCTGTCACAAGTGGAGCAGCAACTATCTCCATCTTTGTGCCCTGCCACCGGTTTATTTCCCCTACTTTAGATGCTTCATTGGGCCTCAGTGCTAATCCTGCTGGAACCAGATGCCCCAGGGTGAAGCAATATCCACGGGACAGCTGCCCTTACCTGATGGGAAGAGGGGATTATTAGGGGTTGGTATTTGTAAGGATAGAACTGGGAGAAGAGGGGGGATAGGGGCTGTGATTTAGAATGTTAAAGTGAATAAAAAGTAAAGTATTGAAAAATAGATAGCATTTACATTTTTAAATAAAATTGAAATGTGCAAATGTGGTAATACAGTAATCTTTAGTATTCTAAAGAAATATTCAGGAGAAAATATTGTGTTCCTGGATTCTAGAATAATTAGACAAAAATATAGTTCAAGAGAAAGCAAGAGAGTTTATTATTTTAAATAACAGTTCTTCTGATGCTTTTTACTTTATAACATGACACATCTTTTCCTTTCCACAAAGGACTTTTGAGAACTATGTAAATAATGGAGAAAAAATCAATCTGATCATTTTTATAAAAAATACCCTTACTTGTCATGTTGGAAATTTCATTTTCTGGGCAGGGTTTACAAACAAAACAGCAGACAGCCTTTCCTTCCTGAGGAAATTTTCTGAGTCCTGGTCTGCAAGGCATACTACATATTGAAGGTAGAATCTGAGAAAAATAATATGCATTATAAAATTAAGGACAATATCATAATGAAAAAACAATCAGTGACTAATACAATATAAATACACTGGGAAAAATCATTTAGCAAACATGTATCATATTAAATTTTCTGCTTTATTTTTTTTTTACAGATAAAATGTATGAGTGTATGATGATTTATACATTAAGAAGCATCCATAGCAAGAACAATAATATCAACTGAGTAGACCCCACATACCTCCCAGGGACTAAGCAACCACCCAAAGAGTACACATGGAGGGACCCATGTGTACAGCTGCATATGTAGCAGAGGCTGGACTTATGTGGCATCAATGGGAGGATAGGCCATTGGTCCTTTGAAGGTTCAGTGTCCCACTGTAGTGGAATTCCATGGCAATTAGGTGGGAGTGGGGGTCTGCTGGTGGAACATCCTCAAAGAGCTAGTAGGGATAAGATAGGGGTGTGCAGAAGGGAAACCTGGAAAAAGAATGACGTTTGAAATGAAAATAAACAAAATGTCCAATAAAAAAGAAAAAATAAAGATATTTAATTAAGACCTACATTAAAAAAAAAGAAACATCAATAAAAAAGTGTAAGAGTAAGAAAGAGAATATCTAGGGTAGTGTGAAGTGAGTCAATAATTGACGAAATATCAAACATTTATCCCATGCAAAGCAAAATAGAGAATATTTTAAGTAATTGTGATACATGTTAAGCACTAAAGTTAAGACTAAATTACCTGATCTATATCTGTAGCCCACTGTATCATTTCCTCAGACATATATAACTGTTGACCACTTGGAAAATGATCTGAAAATCTTCCTATTTTTATTTTAAGTCCATAGTCTTCTGGAAAATCCATGATATAGAAAATGTCATACTCTGTATCCTGTTTTAAATTCTGGTTCATGTTGACTAGGTCTCCAACAGGATTTACAAATTGTAAGTTTTTCAGAAAAGAGAACATCTAAAACACATTTGTTACATTAATTTCAACTATGCTTACACAACAGCACAGAAAGTATTAAGTTTAGAATGTCCCCAACTTTTATTATCCTTCCCGAAAATATAACTTTACAAGAGGTATTCAGTACTAAAGACGAAAATAAAGTTCGTGTAAATGTAAAGTTGTGCTTTGTTTACAAATACAATCTTATTGCTGGATTTGATGCTCTAAAATGTACACTCCTGAACTTTATGTTTGGAGAGTAATGATGCCTTCTGTAGTTGTTTTTTTTTTTTTTTTTTTTTTTTTTGGCCAATTGTGTTATTTGATCACAGGCAGTGGAATTGAAATTGGTAATATGTGAAATTAGTGCAAAAGCACTTGATATTATTTTGGATCCATTCAGTAAATTGATCTTCAACATTTCAATAACATAAAACGTCATTTACTTATTGCTATCTAAAAGTTTCACAAGATAAATTAAAACATGAGATGTGGCTTAAATATCTGGACAAAAAAATTATGACTTATATTATGAATGCTGACTTTCATGCCTGTGTTGACTGTATCACAATTTATGACACTAACATAATCTGCTACCTATGCAATGATAGAGTATAGGACTATATACATTTTTTTTGGGAGAATTATTTACATGGCTTTAGTCCATGTGGTTCTATTAACAAATTCCAAGTGTAGTATATATACATATGAGATTTAGTGTAAAACTGATTACCTTCCGAGAGTCAAGTTCTCGTTCCTTCAAAGCACTCTTAGACCATGTGTCTACTTGTTGCAGAAGGATCTCATGGAGTGAGTAGGCCACAGCATACATGGCATTGTATAAGTTATAACATGTATCACTCATGGCCATTCCAAGTGGTGTCATGAATAACCATTTAAATACAGTTTTGGTTGGACAATTCTTCAGCTTCTTACAATTAGATGGTGGTGAAGAACATCTAAAATATGTCCACCATAGTTTGGCAAAGGAAAATTCACTGCTGTAGTTTGAAGGGTAGACTGTTTGTATAAAATTTTTAAAACCAGATATCTCACGTTGCTGGTGTGAAAAAATGAAAGTCCCATGGGAGGAGTATAGCAAAAAATCTCCCCTAATTGTGATCATATCAAATTGTGACACACTAACCCAGATTCTCCAAATGCGTTCATATTTCAGTTTAATTAGGATAAACTCTAAATAAGAGTCTCTGTCTCCATAAACTATCACAATTTTTGCTAATGACATTTTGATTTGCTTAGAATACATAGCATATTCGCTCAAGAATTTTTTCTGAACATTTTGGATAATAATGGCAAATGATAAACAGACAATGTTTCTTTGCATTTCTCCTCTCAATTCAGAAAGGAAGTGAACTCCATGGTCATCATCTGTAACCATCACTCCTATCCAGTTCCATCTGAAGTGAACCAGTAGGGACACCATGGCTAGTGGTAGAGATGTGTCCTTGGGAGATATCTGATAGAGATGTGGAAATTGTTCATTATCACTCAGAAGAAGATGAAAATGACCACAGTAAAGCTGAAAGATATAGAACAGAGTCAACAATGTGAATATGATGTAATCCAGAGGGTTTCACCTAAGATCTGAGTGTGCTTGAGCAAAGGATAGTTATTTTGGAAAGTGTTTATTCTACATCTCATTATTACAATTATATCCAACTTCTCTAAACAAGAACAAGGAAAATAAGTGTTCTAGTATAACATTTCACATTGCTGTGGTCTCCCATGCCCATTTATGATAAAATTGTTTTGTTTGCCACAAAACATATCTGTGTATTTATGCTTGATAGACCAGAATAAACATATGTCCTTTCTCTGACTTTTAACCTGCCTTGGCACTTAGAAAGTCTCACTGAGTTGAGATAGTATTTCCTTAAAATTAATTCATCTTGAATTACCTCAGGAATTCCAGAGATGTACAGGAATGGTCCAAATGCTGTAGATACTGCCCATATAGGTGCTGTAAGTACAATTAAATATCTTCTCTGATTTGTGCAGTAATAATTAGGATTAAGTTCCTTTCTTTTCAAGTCCAAGCCAGTTTTCTCATCATGATATGATAGGATACAATCAATCTTAACTAGCAGAGAAATGTTGGGTAAAATATGAAGGTTCTTATTTATTTCTTCCATGGCAAAATAAACAGAGAAAATCAAATAGATGGTCTTAGGTGTCAGCCTGAAAAAAGAACAGTAGAGAATATAATTCCTAAAACTGTACAAGCACAAGCTAGATAAAATGCTAGCATACAGAGAGGGAATCAACAGAAAAATACGATTTATATACAGGTTTTAACTGACATGAAAGAGAATATAACACAAGTTTACAAAAAAGTAAATTTCTGGTGGTTTATACAGCCTACAAAAACAAATTATAAGGCTATCACAAGCCTTCTTCTCTTTGTTCATGATGATGGCATAGGATATGTTTAGGTGTAATCTGACAAACTATAATCATATTTGCAATTTCCTCTACAATTCATGTTTCTATAACTTAATGATGTTACTTACAAATACCTAAAACACAACTTTAAAATATTTGCTAATAGTTATTTAAGCAGAATATCTCTTTGTACTACCAATACTCTATCCACACAAGATTCCCACTTGAGATTATAAATTTGTATTTAGTTTTGTTGAATCTCTGCCATGTTTTTGAGAGTCCTAATTTATTCACTTTAGTCTAATATTATATTGATTTGAAAGTAGACTATAAACCATATAGGTTAGTTCGGAATTCAATATTTTACCTTTATAAATCACTTGCTTTATCAACTGTGATGACATGTTTATACCACTGATACTAGCATCCAAGTATTGCTGACAAATAAACGTTGAATAACTATACAACCATCTCTGTTGTATAAACACTATATAGGAAGGGAAACATTCATCAGTTTGAAAATATGTTTGCTATGTAATATACAAGGCTTTATAGAAACTTAGATACAATAATCCTACTCTGTTATATATAAGTAAATGATCTTGATCGCAGAAAAACTTAAAAAATCAGATGTATGTATGCATCCATAATCCAGTTTCAACATAAAAAAGTTGCTTTGTGTTGTTAAATTCTAGATCAGAAATTCTTGCCTTGATATTTTCCTTATGACTAATAAGTAAGAAGAAATTAAAACATTTCTCTGGATCTGACTGCTTCTGCACCATGTGAAAGGACATGTAGTGAAAATTCATGCAGTTTAAATTTTTAGAGTGCTGGACATAAAACTTCACATACTTTTAAAGATGACACTGAGACATATTGTCTTATTAGCTATCAAAATTTAAAATTAAATTTAAATGAATTACAAACACCGTTTCCTTGACATACATGGCAGGACTTATCTGAAATAATATCTAGCTTTTCACAGGCTTATGCAAGACTTGCAGATGTATTCTGGATGATTTTTTTGTTCAAATAACTCAACTTCCCCTACATTCTTTATCATCTGTATGTGATCTGAACTTCTGGTTCATTTTCTCCATCCTACATTTTACTGTGATTATTGATTTTTTACTATTAATCATTTTCTCTATCATATCAACCCATTGTTCTACCCATTTGTTCTAAAATTTTTCTTTAATCCAAAGTCACAAATATTTATCATTGCTATATCAATATCATTCTGTCATATTCTGTTTAAAAGTGAATAGAAGCTTTATCTGAAATTGTTAACTTCAGTGTGCTAATATCTTCCTCCCTCCCTCTCTCCTTCCCTCCCTCCCTTTCACACACACACACACACACACACACACACACACATACACACACAAATATATGTATATATATATATGTATATATATATGATGCTATTTTGAAATATGATTTTAATGAATTTTTGAAATGTTATTTTTGACAAATTTACTACAACATTGCATGAGAAATTATCACATTTTTTTCTATTGAAATCTCAAATACAGTAACCCCATTAAAAAAGAGATATTACAGAAAATATATAACAGTATATGTAAAGTATACTCAATCCCCATAAACACATGTAATATTATTAGGAAAGAGGAGAAAGAGATTTAAGTGTTGAATGAGTATAGTAGATCAAAAAATACAGTAAAAATGAGAAAATTTTGAAATCTGTAAATGAAAATATGTCTTCGTAATGAAAAAATTTGTACCCATAGTACTTCTCTCTCAACTTTCATCATGTATCACAGACAACATATTTTTTCTAGCATAAAAAAATAGAAATAGCATGTGATAGCTTGTGTGGGCATCTTCCATTATAGAAAATTAACAAATTATCTGCTGGGATATGTAGATGCTTCATAATTTTTAAATTGAGAACTTTGCCTAAAGTTCTGACATTATTAACACAGCAAATAGGTGGTCATTCCTTTGAAACAGAATGTAAAATAAAGGAAACAGAAAATTCTCTTTGTGAGAAAATAGTTCTTTTAGTTCTGACTTCGGCTGCAGGATTCATAGACCACAAAATTTTGAAAATTATGACAGATTATTTGAACAAATCTGTTTATCTTCTTCATACATATAACTAAAAGTAAAGGAAGATATCCAAATGACTGGTGTGTAAGAAATGGGCATCCATGCTGACAGAAGAAACATTAGCAGATAAATAAAGACCATATTATTATAGTCTCTATGAGATAAGCCAAAAGCAGTGTTTGTTACTATTTTTCTCAGGGACATCCTATGACACAATAAGTTGGAAATCGGCACATTAAGGGAGTTTTTCTAGTAGCAAGGTCAGTAGTGTGGGTCATTCCTTCAACAGCTACCTATAAATTTAGACTCAAAAATGAAAAACAAGAAGGTACACATAAAACAACCAGGACTAAGAAAATAACCAGCACTGAAACATAAAATAAATTTTGGTTATGTCCTAGAAAGAGAGAGCCAGAAGACACATGGTATCATTTACTACATCCCAGTACCTCTAAAATGTTTTGTCTCCCATGATAAAGCAAAATATGTAAGTGAAATATGCACTTACTGCTTGTCTAGATTCCAACTGAAGTAATCATTCTTCACATAACCCTGCTTTGTGTAAATAGAAAAGAAACAATAACTCTCTGCATCTCCTAGACCATGTTCATTGTCTTTTATTCTCCAAAAGCATCTGGGGTCACTCAAATGACAAAAAATGAAGGAAATCTTCAGAAACAAGAAGACAGAAATCCAAGAGAACATTTTTTTTCATATCTGTAAGATATCTGCCTGAGCAAATACAGCATATAGAGTCAGGCAGAATCTCATGTATCAGTTTTGTGTTAACACATCCAGGTGTCACTTTTTATTACTGTAGTTACTGCTAAAGGACACATGTACTTCTCTTAGAAATTTACTTTTAAGTTTTTTTGTTTGCCTCTAGAGGATTCATAAGCATTCTCTGGCCTTAGGCTCAGCATCTGAGTTCATATGTTCAGGTGACAAATAATGGGCAATAACTTTCTTCATGATTATCCTTTTCCTCCTTATCCATTATGATTACATTTATGTCAGTAGAGATGAATGTCAGGCATAATCCCTCTTGGGCAAATTTTCTAAAAGCCTAGTTCATCCAACCAGTTTTCTGATAACCATTTGAAATAGTTAACTCTAATTACATCAGGTATTCCAAATGAGTTTTACAGAAAATTATGCCAGTGACTCCAACTGAACTCAACTGACCTCAATAATAAACAAATTAACAATATCATGCAATGCCTGCATGTGTCCCGAGCACTTCTAGATATTAATTCTATAAGGTTTCTTTTATGGTGATTTCCTTTTTCTTTAATTCATAACTATGAATAGAGTTACATTTGGGTCAGGGTTATGGAAGAATGCATAATTTGAAATTAAAATTTTCACAATCATAGTCTACAAAATCTGATTTTATAAGGAAATTTAAGGCTAGTAAAATTTTAATTTCATTTTTCTTTAGGACAGGTTAGACAACAAGTTGAACACACAGAATATTATTTTTAAATTACCTCAATGTTTATTAACCTTAACTGTTATATTGACTAAGAATTCAAGTCTAATATAGTATAAGAGTGATTTACATAATGATTCATCATTACAATTCATCTAAGGCCTAGTTTATATTCAGTTTGAATTACCATTTAAAGTTAGTTATAAATATTTTTATTTATTTCTCTTCTGTGGTAATTTCCTTTATGTAAGGTTTTGTGAGGGAATATATGTATATATATATATATATATATATATATATATATATATGCAATAAGTAGGTAGAAGTATTCATGAAAGGGGTGAAAAATCTCACTATAAAAACCAGTTAAAAATGCAGTGTATGTGATGTGGCTGGGCATATAATCAATTGATTTTTTTATTAGTATCATTTGTTAGAATACAGTTTTGAAAATATATGGGTTTTGCTATTCATTTGCTTTAGGGTTTTTTTTTTCTTTCCTGGTCACTACATTATATTTCATTGGCCTGATTGTCATATCTTTAAAAACTTAATATTTTACTTTTTAGTTCTTCAATACTCTATTTTTACACAATTTTTGATTATAATCACCTTCTTTTCTAATTTTTTTTAGTTCCACACTTATCATCCACAGAACTGTGTGTCCTTTATTTTTTATACCCATCAAATCTACTTTTGCTGGAAAAATTGTTTTGGATAAGTGATCTGTCAATGAATTAGAGTCATGTTATTAAGTGTATGGATTTTATTAAAAAATAAAAAATCTGTCTTTCTTTCCTAGGGACTAAAATTTCCACTCATTAATACCAATGATGGAATGTGTTTACAGCTTTCATCTTCATATTTGGATGTGGTCTTTCTTGGATTTGCAAGGGTTTGTATTTCCTGGTAAAGTCCCTGGGATTTTGTACCTGTCCTGGGATATGTTTTCTGCTAGTCATCTACCACCTCTGTAATTTACATTCAATCTGCTCAAATTACTGCAGTAATTCCCATGCTCTGAAGAACATGAACTATGATTTTCTCAGACTCGAATATTGTGTAGTTTCTAATTCTCACTCCTTAATTTCAATCATTTCTCTCTGTTAATTATCATATACAAATAAATAGAAAATTACGAGATATGTGTTGAGAGCTCTCTTGGGTTATGTAATTAGTTTAAGAAATCTGTGGACTTATACCACCTGCCCACATATGTAGCAGTAGTCCTGCTTGGTCTTCATGGAGTTTCCCCAACAACTGGAACAGGGGCTATCCTATGTTGCCTGCCTGTGGTTCCAGTTCCTGTAAATGGTCTTCCTTTTCTGGCCTCAACAGAAGAGGATCTGCCTAGTCCTGCAGTGACTTGATGTTCCAGGATGGGATGGTACCTAGCCAGCTCAGAAGAAAAAGTATCTTAGCAAGGATTTCACTGCTGTGAACAGATACCATGACCAAAGAAAATCTTATATGGACAACATTTAATTGGGGCTGGCTTATAGTTTAAGAGGCTCAGTCTACTATCATCAAGGTGAGAGTATGAGAGCACCTAGATGGTGCACGGGGAGCACCAAAGTTTCAAAGGCAAACAGGAGAAGACTGGCTTACAGGTAGATAGAACAGCTATGTTAAACCCCATGCCCATAATGACATGCTTCATCTAACAAGGTTACTATAAATTTTTTGTTTGTCCTTATGAAGTTTGCCTTGTGGTTTCAGTCTGTGCCCCAGAGCTAACTCTGTGCTACAGCTCTCTGTAACCCAATCCTCTGCAGATATAACATGTCTCCCAGGAGTGCTGACACACCTAATATCATAGGCTCACATTTTCACCAGAAGGTCAAACTCCCATCGCAGACAGCAAGACAAGCTAACACCAGAGATAACCAGATGGCAAAAGGCAATTTCAAGAACATAAGCAACAGAAACCAAGGCTACTTGTCATCATCAGAACCCAGTTCTCCTGCCACAGCAAGCCCTGAATACCCCTAACACACCTGAAAAACAAGATTCTGAAGTTCTCTTTTATTGTTGGGTTCTTGTGTGGTTATGTATCACAGTAATTGTGGCTTCATAGAATGAATTAAGTAGTTATTCTTCTGTTTCTATTTTATGGAATAGCTTGAAGAGTACTGGTATTAGCTGTTTGTTGAAGGTCTGGTAGAATTCTGCAATAAAGCCATTTGAGCCTGTGCTTTTTATTGGTTGGGAGGATTTAATGAGTTTCCTTAGGGGGTATAGGTTTGTTTAGATAGTTCATTGTATTGTTCTCTTTGTTTGTATTTTGTTGATTTCTGCCTGGAGTTTGACTATTTCCTGCTGTCTACTTCTTTTAGGTTTATTTGTTTCTTTTTGTTGTAGAGGTCTCAGGTCTTCTGTTAAGTTGCTAGGGTAGGATCTCTCATATTTCTTTACCAGAGCACTGTTATGAATTTTCCTCTTAGCACTGCTTCCATTGTGCCCTACAAGTTTGGGTATGCTGTATCATCATTTTTACTGGATTCCAGGAAGGGTTTACTTTCTTTTATTAAAATTTCTTCTCTGACAAAGTTATCATTGAGTAGACAGTTGTTCAGTTTCCATGGGTATGTGGGTTTTTTGTTGTTTTTGTTGTTATTGAAGTCCAGCCTTAGTCCACGGTGATCTGATTGGATACGTGGGATTAATTCAATCCTTGATCTTTTGAGGATTGTTTTGTGACTGATTATATGATCCATTTTGAAGAAGGTACAATACGATGCCGAGAGGATATATTCCCTTGTGTAAGGGTGGAATTGAGTGTATCCATCACTCTCTTCTATTTCTATTATTTTTAGATTTAGTTTTTTTCATTGTGTCCTGGATTTCCAGGATGATTTTCATTAGAGATTTTTCTATGATTTGAATTTCCTTTGACAGTTGTGGCAGTATCTTCTAAGGTATATTCTACACCTGAAAGTCTCTTTTCTATCTCTTGTATTTTGTTGGTATTGCTTACTTCTGTAATTACTGACCTTTTTTCCTAGGTTTTTTACTTATAGGTTTGCCTCCATTTTTGTTTTCTTCATTGTTTCTTCTTCTACTTTTAGATCTTGAACCACTTTGTTCAGTTCCTTCACCTGTTTGATTGTGTTTTCCTGTATTTCTTTAAGGGAATTATTTGTTTTTGCTTTAAAGGCTTTATCTGTGTTTTCTTGTATTTCTTTAAGTGAGTTATTTATGTCTACCTTAAAGGACTCGATTATTTTCATGAGATTCAATTTTAGGTCAACTTCCTGATTTTTCAAGTGTGTTGGTATTTCCAGAGCTTGCTGGAGTGGGAGAACTGGGTTCTGATGATGCCAACATACATCATCTTCTGTTGATTTAGGTCTTGCACTTCCCTCTTACCATCTGGTTATCCCTGGTTTAAGCTGGTCTGGGTGTTTCTGTCTAGAGCTTGCCTCCTGTGTCCCTGGGTTGAACCAGGTCTCCTGGGAGGCCTGTGGCACTGGCTGTAGCAGACCACTTGTGAGACCTTCAGACAGTGGGGTCTTCAATAGGGCATGTATGCCTGTAATCTCTTGCCCTGTGTGCAGCTGTTCTTTTGGGAGGCTGTCAGACTCTGGGGTCTTAAGGGGGTAAACAGGCTGCTGGTCTATTTCTTATGCTGCTACAAATCTCCAGGGAGGCCTTTAAACTTTTAGGTCTTCAGAGGAGCAGTCCAGCTGTTGTCCTTCTTCCAGCTGTAGTTCTTCTTCTGGGAGACCTTCAGACTATGAAGTCTGTTTCCCTGTTTGCAGCAGAACTGCAGGGAGGCTTTCAGATTGTTGGGTCAGTTGTCCTGCATGCATAGAAACTCCTGGAAGGCCTTCAGATCGTGGTGTCTTTGGAGGAACAAACAAGTTAGCTGTCAGACCTCTCAGAAGGTGCAGGCTGGAAAGTAAGTAGAATTAAGGGTACACAGGGTTTGCTGGGTAATGGGTCCTGTTTCCACTGCACCTCATAAAATTCTAAGCTGTAGCACCTGTCTTTGAGGTTCCATATGTATTTCCCTGTTTGCAGTAGAACTCCTAATAAGCCTTTATTCTGTGGTGCCTTTAGAGGAACAGACAAGCTGTTGATCTGCCAAGGTAGAAGGAGCAGGCCAAAAGGTAATTGAACTTTCATAAGTGGTATCTGTCTTGAAAAATTATACATTTCATTTAGATTTTCCACTATCCTGGAGTACAGACTTTTGAATTAAGACCTAATGATTTTTTTTTTAAAAAAATAAGTCGTTAGTTTCTGTTTTTATCTCTCCCTTTTCATTTCT